CAAAAAGAGGTCAATACACGTCTTCTAAAATAGACTAGTATTTTAATTAATGCAAACACTTGAATGGTAAATATGATGTTCGTATATACGGGCCCACTGAAACACCACGCAGGGCAGACAGAGAACTGAGCTATTGTTATAAGTTATACTCTGACAGAGATAGTTCCCGCTCTCTGCTGGGCCTGTCAGAGTAGAGGCTGGGTGTGGTTTAAACTTACCCAACCTATCGATGGCGCACAGGCTGGTCCCAGCCCCTTGGCGATTCACTGTTGCCGGGCATTAGTTGTTATCTTTACAACTTGTCTCGAGTCAGCAACCTCAGACATAGTTTGTTCTTCTTCATTGTAGCAGAACACATGTCCTTGAGCGGTTTAACAAAGAGGCAGTGTGTGTGTGTGAATCTCAGTCTATCTCAGCCTACCCCCTAACGGTTCCTCACATTAATCACAGCTTGTTATGTTAAACAATCTATATCAGTACAGCACAAACCTATTATGTTTAATCATTAATGTATTCTTTCTAAGCTAGGCATCACATCTAGTTGTAAGAGAATAGATCCCCACAAAATCCACATGAAACTTCATGTGAAATATCATATGTGAAGTGTTCCAAAACCACATGGTTTCACATGATTTCACATGAAGTTTCACATGTGGATTAACATTTTCACATGTTAATGTTTTTCACAAGATTTCACAGGTGATGCCCTGAAAACAAAAATGAGTGGTTAGGATTTCGCTGGAACGTCACGAAATAGTCAATGTTTTCAACTTACATATTTGGCACACTTTGACATACATGATTACATTGTGTATGTTTATTTATACAGTAATTATTATTCAACATGTCCTCACCTGGGATTTGAACTCGCAACCGCTTGGTTCATGGCATTCTGATCTTCCTGCTACACCACCAAAATTGTGTAGGGGACTTTGTATATGCTAGACATTGTGGTGCAGCAGAAAGATCAGTGTATCCCAAATCCAGAGGTTGTGAGTTCAAATCCCAGTTGGGGTAATATTGAAAATCACCAGGTGATCAATTCAAATGTAAGAATATTGATTAAAGATTTCCGCACTATTTTAGCCGAACAGTGTACCATTTACTTTCGTCCCCCATACCATTTCATTACTTCCCTTACAAAAACATGTGACATTTGAACTTTCACATGTGAAAAACTTTATCCCATTGAAATGTTGCATCCCCATGTTGTCACATTTATTTCACATGAGATGTTTTCACATGCTGAAATTCTCACGTGCAATAATATTATCACATTAACTTCACGTGATCACGTGACATTTCTGGGGGGGGGGGGGGTTCCATAAGGGAAGCCTTTCAGCAACAGTTGTTGAAAATAGATTTTAGAATTTATTTGTTTAGAGTTCATAGAACACCAATGGATCCTCCACATTCATTAGTAGACTTGCCTTGATAGAACCAAAATAACAGAACAGAGAGAGAATACAATTTACCATCTGTCCAGAACAGAGAGAACAGTTGCACTTGGAAAACACTCTCCCTGAATTCTCTCTAATATACCCAGAGTATATTGCAGCTATCAGTCAAGTCTCAATTAGTTTAAGGACCTGACTTTGAAATGGGTTTAGAATATCTATTGAGGAAATTGAATGGATTTGAGAATGAGGATTCAGGAGGGGAATGAGAATGGACTAGATGAAGCAGAGGGCTGCAAATAAAGGATCCAGGGGGTGGACTCTGTAGAGTTTGGCTTGGAGTCTCAGGTAGACATCATCAGGCCGTGGTAGTTAGGCTGCTGTGGTGATGGCAATCCCCAAAAAGAGAACTCCTAAGTTAGCCGGACCCTGGAGAGTAAGTGAGCTGCAGGTGCTGAATGGTTGTCGATATACACTGCTCAAAAAAATAAAGGGAACACTTAAACAACACAATGTAACTCCAAGTCAATCACACTTCTGTGAAATCAAACTGTCCACTTAGGAAGCAACACTGATTGACAATTTCACATGCTGTTGTGCAAATGGAATAGACAACAGGTGGAAATTATAGGCAATTAGCAAGACACCCCCAATAAAGAAGTGGTTCTGCAGGTGGTGACCACAGACCACTTCTCAGTTCCTATGCTTCCTGGCTGATGTTTTGGTCACTTTTGAATGCTGGCGGTGCTTTCACTCTAGTGGTAGCATGAGACGGAGTCTACAACCCACACAAGTGGCTCAGGTAGTGCAGCTCATCCAGGATGGCACATCAATGCGAGCTGTGGCAAGAAGGTTTGCTGTGTCTGTCAGCGTAGTGTCCAGAGCATGGAGGCGCTACCAGGAGACAGACCAGTACATCAGGAGACGTTGAGGAGGCCATAGGAGGGCAACAACCCAGCAGCAGGACCGCTACCTCCGCCTTTGGGCAAGGAGGAGCAGGAGGAGCACTGCCAGAGCCCTGCAAAATGACCTCCAGCAAGCCACAAATGTGCATGTGTCTGCTCAAATGGTCAGAAACAGACTCCATGAGGGTGGTATGAGGGCCCGACGTCCACAGGTGGGGGTTGTGCTTACAGCCCAACACCGTGCAGGACGTTTGGCATTTGCCAGAGAACACCAAGATTGGCAAATTCACCACTGGCGCCCTGTGCTCTTCACAGATGAAAGCAGGTTCACACTGAGCACATGTGACAGATGTGACAGAGTCTGGAGACGCCGTGGAGAACGTTCTGCTGCCTGCAACATCCTCCAGCATGACCGGTTTGGCGGTGGGTCAGTCATGGTGTGGGGTGGCATTTCTTTGGGGGGCCGCACAGCCGTCCATGTGCTCGCCAGAGGTAGCCTGACTGCCATTAGGTACCGAGATGAGATCCTCAGACCCCTTGTGAGACCATATGCTGGTGCGGTTGGCCCTGGGTTCCTCCTAATGCAAGACAATGCTAGACCTCATGTGGCTGGAGTGTGTCAGCAGTTCCTGCAAGAGGAAGGCATTGATGCTATGGACTGGCCCGCCCGTTCCCCAGACCTGAATCCAATTGAGCACATCTGGGACATCATGTCTCGCTCCATCCACCAACGCCACGTTGCACCACAGACTGTCCAGGAGTTGGCGGATGCTTTAGTCCAGGTCTGGGAGGAGATCCCTCAGGAGACCATCCGCCACCTCATCAGGAGCATGCCCAGGCGTTGTAGGGAGGTCATACAGGCACGTGGAGGCCACACACACTACTGAGCCTCATTTTGACTTGTTTTAAGGACATTACATCAAAGTTGGATCAGCCTGTAGTGTGGTTTTCCACTTTAATTTTGAGGGTGACACCAAATCCAGACCTCCATGGGTTGATAAATTTGATTTCCATTGATCATTTTTGTGTGATTTTGTTGTCAGCACATTCAACTATGTAAAGAAAAAAGTATTTAATAAGATTATTTCATTCATTCAGATCTAGGATGTGTTATTTTAGTGTTCCCTTTATTTTTTTGAGCAGTGTAGTTGAGGTAGTACAGGCGTATGGACGAGATGCCCACAGAGTTACCAAACTTTAGACCCCAGGAGAGCAAGCAGAAGCAACAGTGGCAAGGGAAAAAACCTTGTGAGAAACCAGGCTCAGCTGGAGAGCCAATCCTCTTTTGGCTGGTTGGGTAGGATTCGGTGCGTGAGTTAGATTGTGTCTGTGAAATGAGGCAGGTACTGGGATACTGTGCTTGAGTTAATGCAGGTTCTGAGAGATTAGCATATTGTGGGCTGTCCTGAGCGGCTATAGGAATGATAGGCTTGAGAGGACCAGCGTCCGAGGAGTTGTACGATGTGATCTGGGATGCTGTGTCCAGATGCCATGGATGCAGCTCCAATGCGGAAGGAGTGTCCAGAGAATTGGTCAGCAGGATAGCTGTACAGGGATAGTATTTGTCTCAGATGGAAATGGAACCATTGGAGAGGCGATGGAACCAGATTTGGTGATGAATAGTTGATCAGATGGAGAGGCATGTTGAGATTATCTGAGCTGTCTGAGCCGTAGGAAGTTGGTTAGTGGTTCATAAGGGCTAGATGGTAGCCGAACAGGTAGACTGGTGTGGTTTTGCTAAACTGATCGGTTTACTGTGTTTGATGGTCGGGATGTAGGTAAAAGATGAGGATGTTAACTTGGAACATCGCAGGAAGCGAAAGAACGCCAAAAGAAACCTCCATCCCAGCGTGGCGAGACCGCGATGGAGACGTAACCTGATCTCAGCATCTGGATGCAGGCAGACAGGATGTCAGTGGTGATAAGCTGGCAACGAGGGTGGGTGGCGGACGCCGGCGAAGGTGGACTGTGGGCGACAGTTGAAGATTTGAACAGAGCCAGTTGGTTCACTGATCTAGGAGAGAGTTTCAACTGGTGGAGGAAGAGCCAGGAAGGCCGTTGAGAGGGAATGGTGAGCCTGAGGGCGGGGCTCACTGAACTGAGAGAAGTTCACAGCTGTAAGGAACAGGGGCAGAGCCACGGCTGGAGCAGCAGGAGCAACAGGCACATATAGCTGCCTGAGCGGTCGTCGCTGGCAGAGAAGAAGGTGAGGCACTGCAGGGGTGGCGGTCACAGGACCAGTGGGACCAGAGGCGAAGATGGAGGTCATTACTGGTGAAGAGGGAGGGTGTGTCACTGTGGGAGCAGCGGTCACGGGTCAACGGAGGCCGAGGTGGGGAGAGAGGTCGTCACTTGCAGAGAGAGGGGGTGAGCCGCTGCTGTAGCAGTGGACACTGGGCCAGCGGGACCTGAGAGGGGGAGAGCTGCTAGAGGCTGTGAAGATAGAGCAGGCTAGGTAGCCGGGAGGCCGGAGCGGCCGGCAGTGAAGAGTGGAACAGAGAGGCAGCTGAGAGGGCCAGGGGCCAGACCACTGCGGGGGCAGCAGGCACATAACTGGCTAAGTAGGTGGAGATGTGAGAGGTCATAGCTGGCAGAAAGCGTAGACGCTGGTGTGGTGGCAGCGGGACCTGAGGGAAAAGAGAAGTCGACACTGGCAGATAGAAAGGGTGAGCCGCTGCCGGAGTAGCAGTCACAGGTCATGCGAGACCTGGGGGGAGGGGAGCCAGAGGCTGTGAAGATAGTGCAGGCAAGGTAGCCAGGAGGCCAGAGTGGGAAAACCAGTTGCACCGCCGGCGGATCAGAACGTGAGAGGTAGAGGAAGCAGTATGCTGAGAGAGAGGTTGTCACTAGCAGAGAAAGAGCTGCTGCCCTAGCAGGTAGTCACAGGGCCAGCAGGACATGAGGGAAAGAGAGAGGGCAGCAGTGGCAGAGAAAGAGGGTGAGCCACTGTTGTAGTGGCGGTCACGGAGCCAGCCGGACCTGAGGTGGGGAGAGAGGTCGACACTGGCAGAGAGAGGGTAGCCACGGTCATGTGCCAGTGGGACCTGAGGGAAAGGCGTGTTGGCGCCGACGAAGATGGCGGCCTCGCGACTAGCTCTTAGGAAACCTAGCAGTATTTTGTTTTTTTATGTATTATTTTTTACATTATTAGCTCTGAAAGTGTTTTGCATCATTACATACAGCCGGGAAAAACTATTGGATATCAGAGTGGCGGTAACTCACCAGCATTACGACCAGGAATACGACTTTCCCGAAGCAGATCCTTTGTTTGCTCTCCCCAGGGCAACTGAACTGATTCCAGCGGCTGACCCAAAACATCGCCGGCGGAGTATTCTACTCGCTAATGTTCAGTCTCTGGTTAACAAGCTCGGCGAACTACGGGCAAGGATTTATTTCCAGAGAGACATCAAGGCCTGTAACATACTCTGTTTCATGGAAACATGGCTCTCTCTGGATATTCTGTCGGAATTGGTCCAGCCAGATGGGTTCTCAGTTCATCGCGCAGACAGGAATAAATATCTCTCCGGGAAGCAGAAGGGCGGAGGTGTGTGTTTCATGATTAACGACTCATGGTGTAATTGTAGTAACATACAGGAACTCGAGTCCTTCTGTTCACCCGACCTAGAATATCTCACAATCAAATGCCGAACATATTATCTCCCAAGATAATTTTCTTCGGTTATAGTCACGGCCGTGTATATCCACCCTCAAGCCGATACCGCGACGGCCCTCAAAGAACTTCACTGGACCTTATGCAAACTGGAAACCACATATCCTGAGGCTGCATTTATTGTAGCCGGGGATTTTAACAAAGCAAATTTGAGGACTAGGCTGCCGAAGTTCTATCAACATATCGACTGTTGTACTCGCGCTGCTAAAATCCTCTACCATTGCTATTCGATCTTCCGGGATGATTATAAGGCCCTCCCCCGCCCTCCTTTCGGCAAATCTGACCACGACTCCATTTTGCTTCTCCCTTCCTATAGGCAGAAACTCAAACAGGAAGTACCCGTGCTAAGGACTATTCAACGCTGGTCTGACCAATCGGAATCCACGCTTCAAGATTGTTTTGATCACACGGACTGGGATATGTTCCGGGTAGCTTCCGAAAATAATTTAGACGTATACACTGAAATGGTGACTAAGTTTATCAGGAAGTGTATAGGTGATGTTGTGCCCACTGTGACTATTCAAACCTACCCTAACCAAAAACCGTGGATAGATGGCAGCATTCGCGCAAATCTGAAAGCGCGAACCACCGCCTTCAATCATGGCAAGGTGACTGGGAATATGGCAGAATACAAACAGTGTAGCTACTCACTCCGCAAGGCAATTAAACTGGCAAAACATCAGTATAGAGACAAAGTGGAGTCGCAATTCAATGGCTCAGACACGAGACGAATGTGGCAGGGTCTAAAGACAATCACGGACTACAAAAGGAAAACCAGCCACGTCGCCGACACCGACGTCTCGCTTCCAGACAAGCTAAACACCTTCTTCGCCTGCTTTGAGGATAACACAGTGCCACTGACGAGGCCCACTACCAAGGACTGTGGCCTCTCCTTCTCCATGGCCGACGTGATTAAGACATTTAAGCATGTTAACCCCCGCAAGGCTGCCGGCCCAGACGGCATCCCTAGCCGCGTCCTCAGAGCATGCGCAGACCAGCTGGCTGGTGTGTTTATGGCATATTCAGTCTTTCCCTTTCCCAGTCTGCTGTTCCCACATGCTTCAAGATGGCCACCATTGTTCCTGTACCCAAGAAAGCAAAGGTAACTGAACTAAATGACCTTCGCCCTGTAGCACTCACCTCTGTCATCATGAAGTGCTTTGAGAGACTAGTCAAGGATCATATCACCTCTACCTTACCTATCACCCTAGACCCACTTCAAGTTGCTTACCGCCCCAATAGATCCACAGACAATGCAATCGCCATCACACTGCACACTGCCCTATCCCATCTGGACAAGAGGAATACCTATGTAAGAATGCTGTTCATTGACTATAGCTCAGCATTCATCACCATAGTACCCTCCAAGCTCATCATTAAGCTCGAGGCCCTGGGTCTGAACCCAGCCCTGTGCAACTGGGTCCTGGACTTCCTGACGGGCCACCCCCAGGTAGTGGGTAGGAAACAACATCTCCACTTCGCTGATCTCAACACTGGGGCCCCACAAGGGTGCGTGCTCAGCCCCCTCCTGTACTCCCTGTTCACCCATGACTGCGTGGCCAAGCACGCCTCCAACTCAATCATCAAGTTTGCAGACGACACAACAGTAGTAGGCTTGATTACCAACAATGACGAGACCGCCTACAGGGAGGAGGTGAGGGCTCTGGGAGTGTGGTGCCAGGAAAATAACCTCTCACTCAACATCAACAAAACAAAGGAGATGATCGTGGACTTCAGGAAACAGCAGAGTGTGCATCCCCCTATCCACATCGATGGGACCGCAGTGGAGAAGGTAGAAAGCTTCAAGTTCCTTGGCGTACACATCACCGACAAACTGAAATGGTCCACACACACGCAGACAGTGTGGTGAAGAAGGCGCAACATAGCCTCTTCAACCTCAGGAGGCTGAAGAAATTCGGCTTAGCACCTAAAACCCTCACAAACCTTTACAGATGCACAATTGAGAGCATCCTGTCGGGCTGTATCACCGCCTGGTACGGCAACTGCACCGCCCGCAACCGCAGGGCTCTCCAGAGGGTGGTACGGAATGCCGAACGCATTACCGGGGGCAAACTACCCACCCTCCAAGACACATACAGCACCCGATGTCACAGGAAGGCCAAAAAGATCATCAAGGACATCAACCACCCGAGCCACTGCCTGTTCACCCCGCTATCATCCAGAAGGCAAGGTCCGTACAGGTGCATCAAAGCTGGGACCGAGAGACTGAAAAACAGCTTCTATCTCAAGGCCATCAGACTGTTAAATAGCCATCACTAGCACATTAGAGGATGCTGCTACCTATTGAAATCACTGGCCACTTTAAGAAATGGAACACTAGTCACTTTAATAATGTTTACATATCTTGCACTACTCATCTCATATGTATATACTGCATTTTAATCCATAATATTCTACTGTATCTTAGTCAATGCTGCTCTGTCATTGCTTGTCCATATATGTATATATTCTTAAATCCCATTCCTTACTAGTTTTGCGTGTATTGGGTACAGTTGACGTCGGAAGTTTACATACACCTTAGCCAAATACATTTAAACTCAGTTTTTCACAATTCCTGACATTTAATCCTAGTAAAACTTATTATTTTAAGAATGTGAAATGTCAGAATAATAGTAGAGAATGATTTCTTTCAGCTTTTATTTCTTTCATCACATTCCCAGTGGGTCAGGAGTTTACATACACTCAATTAGTATTTGGTAGCATTGCCTTTAAATTGTTTAACTTGGGTCAAACGTTTCGGGTAGCCTTCCACAAGCTTTCCACAAGCTTCCCACAATAAGTTGTGTGAATTTTGGCCCATTCCTCCTGACAGAGCTGGTGTAACTGAGTCAGGGTTGTAGGCCTCCTTGCTCGCACACGCTTTTTCAGTTCTACCCACAAATTATCTATAGGATTGAGGTCAGGGCTTTGTGATGGCCACTCCAATACCTTGACTTGGTTGTCCTTTAGCCATTTTGCCACAACTTTGAAAGTATGCTTGAGGTCATTGTCCATTTGGAAAACCCATTTGCGACCAAGCTTTAACTTCCTGACTGATCTCTTGAGATGTTGCTTCAATATATCCACATAATTTTCCTTCCTCATGATGCCATCTATTTTGTGAAGTGCACCAGTCCCTCCTGCAGCAAAGCACCCCCACAGCATGATGCTGCCACCCCCGTGCTTCACGGTTGGGATGGTGTTCTTCGGCTTGCAAATTCCCCCTTTTTCCTCCAAACATAACGATGGTCATTATGGCCAAACAGTTCTATTTTTGTTTCATCAGATCAGAGGACATTTCTCCAAAAAGTAAGATCTTTGTCCCCATGTGCAGTTGCAAACCGTGGTCTGGCTTTTTTATGGCGGTTTTGGAGTAGTGGCTTCTTCCTTGCTGAGCGGCCTTTCAGGTTATATCGATATAGGACTCGTTTTACTGTGGATATAGATACTTTTGTACCTGTTTCCTCCAGCATCTTGACAAGGTCCTTTGCTGTTGTTCTGGGATTGATTTGCACTTTTCGCACCAAAGTACGTTCATCTCTAGGAGACAGAACGCATCTCCTTCCTGAGCAGTATGACGGCTGTGTGGTCCCATGGTGTTTATACTTGCATACTAGTTTATACTAGTTTGTACAGATGAACGTGGTACCTTCAGGCGTTTGGAAATTGCTCCCAAGGATGAACCAGACTTGTGGAGGTCTACAATTGTTTTTCTGAGGTCTTGGCTGATTTCTTTTGATTTTCCCATGATGTCAAGCAAAGAGGCACAGAGTTTGAAGGTAGGCCTTGAAATACATCCACAGGTACACCTTCAATTGACTCAAATTATGTCAATTAGCCTATCAGAAGCTTCTAAATCCATAACATAATTTTCTAGAATTTTCCAAGCTGTTTAAAGGCACAGTCAACTTAGTGTATGTATACTTCTGACCCACTGGAATTGTGATACAGTGAATTATAAGTGAAATAACCTGTCTGTAAACAATTGTTGGAAAAATTACTTGTGTCATGCACAAAGTAGATGTCCTAACCGACTTGCCAAATCTACAGTTTGTTAACAATAAATTTGTGGAGTGGTTAAAAAACTAGTTTTAATGACTCCAACCTAAGCGTATGTAAACTTCCGACTTCAACTGTATATGTTGTGAAATTGTTAGATATTACTTGTTAGATAATACTGCACTGTCGGAGCTAGAAGCACAAGCATTTCGCTACACCCACTATAACATCTGCTAAACACGTGCATTTGACAAATACAATTTGATTTGATTTGATTTGAAAGAGAGAGGTCGACACTGGCAGAGAAAGAGATTGAGTTGCTTCCAGAGCAGTGGTCACAGGGCCAGCGAGACCTGAGGGGGGAGAGCCAGAGGCTGTGAAGATAGTGCAGGCAAGGTAGCCAGGAGGCCTGAGGCTCCCGAGAAACAGCCACGAACTGTCCTGTATAACTGCCCGTATAACAGCCTGCGAAAAGCCACTCTACCCACTGCTGTCAGACTGTATAATAACTCTAGCTCTTAAATGGTTTTCCCCAAAATTAAAATTTTTACAATCACATTTTAACATTTCAATTTCCTGTAATGTTTCAAGTGTTCTGTATTCTTTTTATGTTACGTATTATGTATTTTTTAAATGAGTGTTTTGCAATTCTTAGTTATGTAAATTCTGCATTTCTTCAGTTTTATCTGTGAGCAAGAATAAATCAACTCAAACTCAAACACAGAGTGGGCAACTGGAAAACCAGTTGCACCGCCGGTGGAGACAGAACATGAGAGGTAGAGGAAGCAGTATGCTGAGAGAGGCCATCACTGGCAGAGAGAGTGGGTGAGCCACTGCCAAAGCAGCGGTCACGGTTCCAGTGGGGCCAGAGAGAAAAGTAGAAGCAAGAGGCAAGGGAGCTGGGGTGCCAGAGAAGCCGTTGGATGCAGGGAGTGCACTGCCAGTGTGGAGGAGACAGGGGTAATGAGAGAGAGCAGGGGAGATAGTGGAAAGGGACATGCACCTGTGTTCAGGTATTAGAAAGAGAGGGGGGAAGAGAAGGCCTGCTGGGCCGTCGGGGGGAGCTGTAGCTGCAGGGATTTAGGCTGTGTCGGATGCCAAGTCGTAATCTGTGGATGCTGGGAGAGAAGCCAGGTCCAGAGCTGGTTTGGGGGCCTGGGTCGAAGTTAGGAAGGACGCCTGTATCTTTGTATTGACTGGGTGTATTGATACACCATCTAAAGTGTCATTCATAACTTCACCATGCTCAAAGGGATATTCAATGTCTGCTTTTTATTTTTTTTACCCATCTACTAATAGGTGCTCTTCTTTACGAGGCATTGGAAAACCTCCCTGGTCATGGTGGCCTCATTTGCATATCTTGCTGCGTTGCTGAGCTTAGCAAACGGGGTAGCATCGGTTGCTGCTGGTAATCCTACCGTGACTGAACGCCTCTCTGTGGGCCCACAGTCTATGTCTGCATCCAACATGGCACCCTATTCCCTTTATAGTGCACTACTTTTGACCAGGTTCCATAGGGCTCTGGTCAAATATAGTGCACTATATAGGGAATAGGGTGCCATTTTGGATGCAGACACTATGTCCTGTGATAAAATTGCACACCCACAGAGGTTAATGGCCTGGGTCGACGTCTTTGAGCCCTGATCTGAGGCTTGGAGGCCGAGTTGGTGGTGGTGGAATAAATATGCAGCAGTGGAGGCAGCAAGGGGTTGATCTCATGGTGGCCCCCGGGTGCATGGTATATTCATGCGGTAGGCAACATGGGTGGAGGTGGATGTGGTTGTGGTCCTGGCAAGACAGGAAGCCATAGTCAACCGACCGGAGAGAGGGAGAAGTAGTTTAGTGGAAGAAAAGGGGCATGAGGGAGAGAGCAATAACAAGAGAGAGAGAACAATCATGGCTTGACAGACACTTTGCAATGACATGAAGATGGCATTTCTAGAGGAGAAAGCCAGTCTGCAGTATGATAGATACTGTAGTATGTGGCCAATATATGGCTGAAATTTTGCAAAAGATTCTGATACTATGTGTGGCCTGCCATTACTTGGACTCTGGCAAACGTGACCCGGGACAATATTTGAATGAATGGCATAATAAAATGTTCCAAGCAGTGCTTTTATCAAATTACTTTTGACATGAAGGAATTAAAGCGGAATTGTAAGGATAATGCTTACAACGGATGATATGCCTGAGCCTAAACTGCATAGAATAGCCTAGCGGCTATATGGTGAGTAGCCAGCCTGTCTAATATTAAAAAGAACTCTGAAGTTGGCACACAGATTATTTGGAACAGGACCTGCGTCAAAATGAATTACTGTACCGGCGATGGATGAATAGCTGGGACTCAGATTCGGTGGTTGGCGACACAGCCTCATGGGTCCACTGAGGAGCGGGGCATGTGGCTTGCATGTGGTAGGGAGATGCGCTGGTGCATCCGGTGAAGCCGTGGATAGTCGGGATATGCACTCAGGAGAACATACTGCATGGCGGAGAGGAAATGTTGTGAAAGCAGGGAGTTTGCTGGTCTGTGATGAAAGAGGAAGAAGGGATATACCAAAAACATTGTAGCGAATTCATGGAGTAGCCCCGACCGAGACTCAAAACCGGGTCCATCGACTGTCAAGCCAACACCTTAACCACTACGCCAAGAGGTCCAAACCTCTTGATGAGGTTGCTAGGTGTTGGGTTAAGGTCACTACAATATAAACGCAGAATGCAACAATTGCTAAGAGTTTACTAAGGTAGTTCATATAAGGAAATCAGTCAATTGAAATAAATTCATTAGGCCCTAATCTATGGATTTCACATGACTGAGAATACAGATATGCATCTGTTGGTCACAGATACCTTAAAAAAAAAAGTAGGGGCGTGGATCAGAAAACCTGTCAGTATCTGGTGTGACCACCATTTGCCTCATGCAGCGCGACATCTCATTCGCATAGAGTTGCTCAGGCTGTTGATTGTGGCCTGTGGAATGTTGTCCCACTCCTCTTCAATGGCTGTGCGAAGTTGCTGGATATTGGCGGGAACTGGAACACGCTGTGGTACACGTCGATCCAGAGCATCCCAATCATGATGGTGAGTATGCAGGCTATGAAATAACATTTTCAGGTTCCAGCAATCGTGTACAGATCCTTGTGACATGGTGCCGTGCATTATCATGCTGAACATGAGGTGGTGGCGGTGGATGAATGGCACAACAATGGGCCTCAGGATCTCGTCACGGTATCTCTGTACTTTCAAATTGCCGTCGATAAAATGCAATTGTGTTTGTTGTCCGTAGCTTATGTCTTTCCATACCATAACCCCTACGCCACCATGGGGCACTCTGTTCACAACGTTGACATCAGCAAACCGCTCGCCCAGAACAGTTGAAACCGGGATTCATCTGTGAAGAGCACACTTCTCCACTGTGCCAGTGGCCATCGAAGGTGAGCATTTGCCCACTGAAGTCGGTTACGACGCCAAACTGCAGTCAGGTCAAGACCCTTGTGAAGACGACGAACACGCAGATTAGCTTCTCTGAGATTCTTCGGTTGTGCAAACCCACAGTTTCATCAGCTGTCCGGGTGGCTGGTCTCAGACGATGCTGCAGGTGAATAAGCCAGATGTGGAGGTCCTGGGCTGGCATGGTTACATGTGGTCTGTGGTTGTGAGGCCGATTGGACATACTGCCAAATTCTCTAAAACGACGTTGGAGTCGGCTTATGGTAGAGAAATTAACATTCAATTCTCGGGCAACAGCTCTGGTGGACATTCCTGCAGTCAGCATGCCAATTGCATGCTCCCTCAAAACTTGAGACATCTGTGGCATTGCTGTGTGACAAAACTGCACCTTTTAGAGTGGCCTTTTATTGTCCCCAGCACAAGGTATACCTGTGTAATGATCATGCTGTTTAATTAGCTTCTTGATATGCTACACCTGTCAGGTGGATGGATTATCTTGGCAAAGGAGAAATGCTCACTAACAGGGATGTAAACAAATGTATGCACAAAATTCAAATTAAATATGCCTTTTGTGGGTCTGGAAAATTTCTGGGATCTTTTATGAAACATAGGACTATCACTTAACATGTTGCGTTTATATATTTTTCAGTGTAAGAGCCTGACGGAAGCAGGTGCGAGATGCGACAAAATATAACAATTAACTTGCTGATCGGAGTACGTCCTCATGCAAAAGTTGGTAGTAACGCACGGTCGTGCAACGGGACTTGCACTTCTTCTTCTTTGGATTTTAACCGTGGTTGGCATCCAATATGTTGCATTACCGCCCCCATCTGGACAATAACATAGACCATTATACTTTGTGATACAAAGTTCAAAATAACAAATAAAACACCCTTCCAACTAACCCTACACTTAAACACTGACTACCCCATTCCACTACTTTGACCCTATCTGCTCCTGCACCATGCCAACGGCCTGGGAGGACGGGACACCACCACTCAACACACCCTGTAACTCTTCTGAAGTAAAATCTTGTATACCCAAATACTTCTCTGCAGCTGCCAACACATCTAGTTTCCGTGATTTATGTTCCATTTCTGCGGTACAGTTGATAGCCATTGCTATGAACGCTAAGAAGCCAACCTTACTGAAGCATATCACTCATTGGTCTATCCCTCTGTGCTGGCACAGATCTACTACTCACAGGGATCCTCTCAGGATCCTTCACCCATCCTCTACTTTCTTCACTGCCTCAGCATTTGTATTTGTATTTGCATTTATTAGGGATCCCCATTAGCTGCTGCCAAGGCAGTTGCTACTCTTCCTGTGGTCCAAACATATTAAAGCACTTACATTACATCATATAACATTATTACACCACTACAATACAAAATGTTTAATACCACCACACAACAATATCACAATGTGTGCATATGCATGTGTCTGTGTGTGTCTCTTCACAGTCCCCGTTGTTCAATAAGGTGTATTTTTACCTGTTTTAAAAAATCAGATTCTACTGCTTGCATCAGTTACCTGATGTGGAATAGAGTTCCATGTAGTCATGGCTCTATGTAGTACTGTGCGCCTCCCATAGTCTGTTCTGGACTTGGGGACTGTGAAGAGACCTCTGGTGGCATGTCTTGTGGGGTATGCATGGGTGTCTGAGCTGTGTGCTAGTATTTTAAACAGACAGCTCGGTACATTCAGCTTGTCAACAATTACGAAAACAATTAGTGATGAAGTCAATCTCTCTTCCACTTTGAGCCATGAGAGATTGGCATGCATGTCATTAATGTTAGCTCTCCATGTACTTTTAAGGGCCAGCCGTGCTGCCCTGTTCTGAGCCAACTGCAATTTTCCCAAGTCCCTCTTTGTGGCACCTGATCACACTACTGAAGAGTAGTCTAGGTGCGACAAAACTAGGGCCTGTAGGACCTGCGTTGTTAAGAAGGCAGAGCAGTGCTTTATTATGGACAGACTTCTCCCCATCTTAGCTACTGTTGTATCAATATGTTTTGACCGTTTACAATCCAGGGTTACTCCAAGCAGTTTAGTCTCCTCAACTTGCTCAATTTCCACATTATTAATTACGAGATGTAGTTGAGGTTTAGGGTTTAGTGAATGATTTGTCCCAAATACAATGCTTTTAGTTTTGTAAATATTTAGGACTAACTTATTCCTTGCTACCCATTCCGAAACTAACTGCAGCTCTTTGTTAAGTGTTGCAGTTATTTCAGTTGCTGTAGTAGCTGACGTGTATAGTGTTGAGTCATCCGCATACATAGACACACTGGCTTTACTCAAAGCCAGTGGCATGTCGTTAGTAAAGATGGAAAAAAGTAAGGGGCCTAGACAGCTGCCCTGGAGAATTCCTGACTCTACCTGGATTTTGTTGGAGAGGCTTCCATTAAAGAACACCCTCTGTGTTCTGTTAGCCAAGTAACTATTTATCCACATTATAGAAGGGGGTGTAACGCCATAACACATCCGTTTTTCCAGCAGCAGACTATGATCGATAATGTCAAAAGCTGCACTGAAGTCTAACAAGACATCCCCCACAATCATTTTATCATCAATTTCTCTCAGCCAATCATCAGTCATTTGTGTAAGTGCTGTGCTTGTTGAGTGGCCTTCCCTATAAGCATTCTGAAAGTCTGTTGTCAGTTTGTTTACTGTGAAATAGCATTGTTTCTGGTCAAACACCATTTTTTCCAGAAGTTTACTAAGCATTGGTAACAGGCTGATTGGTCGGCTATTTGAGCCAGTAAAGGGGGCTTTACTATTCTTGTGTAGCGGAATGACTTTAGCTTCCCTCCAGGCCTGAGGGCACACACTTTCTAGTAGGCTTAAATTGAAGATGTGGCAAATAGGAGTGGCAATATTGTCTGCTAATGTCCTCAGTAATTTTCCATCCAGATTGTCAGACCCCGGTGGCTTATCGTTGTTGATAGACAACAATAATTTTTTCACCTCTTCCAAACTGACTTTACGGAATTCAAAAGTACAATTAGTGTCTTTCATAATTTGGTCAGATATACTTGGATGTGTAGTGTCAGCGTTTGTTGCTGGCATGTCATACCTAAGTTTGCTTATCTTGCCAATGAAGAAGTCATTAAATTAGTTGGCAATATCAGTGGGTTGTGTGATGAATGAGCCATCTGATTCAATGAATGATGGAGCAGAGTTTGCCTTTTTTCCAAAAATGTCATTTAAGGTACTCCAACGCTTTTTACTATCATTCTATATATCATTTATTTTTGTTTCATAGTATAGTTTATTTTTCTTTAGTTTAGTTTAGTCACATGATTTCTTAATTTGCAGTACGTTTGCCAATCAGTTGGGCTGCCAGACTTATTTGCCATACCTTTTGCCTCCTCCCTCTCAACCATACAATTTTTCAATTCCTCATCAATCCAAGGGGATTTAACAGTTTGTACAGTCATTTTCTTAATGGGTGCGTGCTTATTAGTAACTGGAATAAGCAATTTCATAAATGTGTCAACTGCAGCGTCTGGTTGCTCCTCATTACACACCACAGACCAGCAAATATTCTTTACATCATCATCAACATATGAATCAAGACAAAGGTTATTGTATGACCTCTTATACACTATATTAGGCCACCCTTTGGAACTTTGGTTTTCCTAGATATGGCTACTATATTGTGATCACTACATCCTATGGATTTTTAAAGCAAATTTCTGCAGCATTAGTAAAGATGTGATCAATACATGTTGATGATTTCATTCCTGTGCTGTTTGTAAATACCCTGGTAGGTTGACTGACAACCTGAACCAGGTTGCAGGCACTGGTTACAGTTTGAGGTTTTTTCTTGAGTGGCCAGCTTGATGAGAGCCAGTCAATATTTAAAATCACCCAGAAAATATTATTCTCTGTTGATATCACATACATTATCAAGCATTTCACACATATTATCCAGATACTGACTGTTAGCACTTGGTGGTCTATAGCAGCTTCCCACAAGAATGGGCTTTAGGTGAGGCAGATGAACCTGTAGCCATATTACTTCAACAGAATCTAACATGAGATTGTCTCTAAGCTTTACAGGAATGAGGTTCTGAATATAGACCGTAACACCGCCCCCATTGACATTTCTGTCTTTTCGGTAGATGTTATAACCATGTATTGCTACCACTGTATCAAAGGTATGATCTAAGTGAGTTTCAGAGATAGTAAGAATATGAATGTAATCTGTTGCAAGCAAGTTATTGACTTCATGGACCTTGTTTCTCAGGCTGCAGATGTTAATATGGGCTTTTTTTTGCACTTTTATGGGTTGCTTGATTGTTTTGAATGCTGTACTGGGAAGCTTATCAGAAGTAGACTTGCTCATGTTATTTATGTTGGAGCTGATAGTGCAGGGTGAGCTGCACACAATGGTCTTGCTACTAGGGCACACTGCCTCAGTGCTAACAGTGTAACTCTAGTTCATAAGCTCATGATTACTGCATACAATAGCTGTAGGATCAACAGAGGTATTCAGGGCAATTAAGGGGACATAAATTAAGTTACTTACATTGTGTCTGCCAATGCCCCTAGGATAATGTACATTTGATGCAGCATTATGACGATTCATTGTCACAATGGTAGGGATTAACTGAGCTGGTCTTGGGTCATCAATAAGTAATTGTTTCAACGCAGCCTTGAAATGCGCGGACAGAGTCCAGTAGCAAGATGATTTGGATGGACTCCGTCATTCCTGTAGAGTATCTTCTGTTTCCAGAAGGTGTCAAAGTTATCTATAAAAGTGATTCCAGTAGAGCTACAGTAATCTTTTAGCCAGATGTGTAATGCCAGTAGCCTGCTGAATCTTTCGAATGAGTTGTTGTTGGGAGATGATGGAGATTGTAGAACTAAACATTGCTTGGGGGAGTCAGGTATAATCTGGATTTTTATGTCACATAATTAGACTACGTGTTTGGAATGCTAGTTCTCTACCTGTGGATTTCTGTATAGAAGAATGCCTGCGACGAGTCAAGTCTGTATACATGTGTAAAACATGTGCTGCAGTCACAGGAAACATAGTGTATTGTTGTTGGCCAGGATGGTAAGACTTTGATGACAACATACAGTAGATATTGCAAAGATCTCCATTATGCAGCTAGCTACTGTACTGTGTACAATTTCCTACATGAGACCAAGGTTAGCTAATGTAATTAGAGGTTCTGTATGGTGACGTCATTGTTAGAGCCATTTTCTGTTTTGAAAGAAAATGTACAGAACTTATTTTGGTTTATTTCCGAAATATTTATTATAGGATAGAAACTCTATGGAAGATACTTATTGTTGTATGGAAACTTAGCTTTATACTGTATATGGAAAGCCTTTTATGGTTGTTAATGTGAAACCAAAAAGGACGCATGTGGGTTTGCTAGGAGGAGTTGCATAAAGGCTTTTAAAAAAAACATGTTTTAGTCATTTAGCAGACACTCTTATCCAGAGCAACTTACAGTTTAGTGAGTGCATTCATTTTTTCATACTGGCCTCCCGTGGGAATCGAACCCACAACCCTGGCGTTGCAAGCGCCATGCTCTACCAACTGAGCTACACAGGACCACACTTATGTGTAACATGGATAGTTAGTTGAACTCTAATTAGGCCAGGTTATTGCACCTGATATAGGAAGACACCATGCAGAGTTACAGTTTTCTACTGTTTAATTTGGATTTAATTTGCCTGCTGCACTTTGGAATTGTACTTTGGGATTTTACCTTTTTACCATTAATATCAAATGGAACCTGTCAAACCCTATCTGGATTACAATGCTTTATTTGACCACCTATCAACTTGGAATATGTGTGACAAAAAACAGACATCTCATTGATGGAAACCAACCTGTATTTTGGAGTCTATAGAAGGCTTTTAGAATCTAGGAACCTTAGCAACAACAGTCATCATTAGTGTGGGATGTCATCACTAGTGTGGTGCTGTCATCATTAGTGTGGTACAGCCATCATTAGCAGTGCTTTAATGTAGGGATGTCATGATTAGTGTGGCGAGTGTGGTGTAGTGTGGTGATGTCATCAATGATGTGGTGATGACATCATTAGTGTGGGGATGTCATTATTAGTGTGGTGATGTCATAATTAGTGGTTGTGGTGTGGTGAGGATATCATTAGTGTGGTAATGTCATCATTAGTGGTTGTATTGTAGTGATGTCTTTATTTGCAGTGCTCCCATGTCTCTGTCTCTCTCTCTCTACCTGTCACTATGACACGTCTCCTGTCTCCTGTCACTCTCCTGCCATGCCGACCGCTCTGACACTTGACAGACTGATGCTGGACGCCTGATGTGTGTTGACAGTCGTGAGTGTTTGTGTCTGTGCCTGTCTCTCTCTGTGTGTGTGTGTGTGTGTGTGTGTGTGTGTGTGTGTGTGTGTGTGTGTGTGTGTGTGTGTGCGCGCGCGCGCACATGCGTGTGTGTGTGTGTGTGTAGCTGTGCTAACTAAAATGTGTCAGTCTCTAGCCCATCACAGCAAAGGCCAATTATTTCCAGTAATTGTGTTGCTTGGACCTTGAAACCATGTTAAGCATATTTAACACACACAGTCTAATTGTCTTTAATGAAATACACTCTTCTCTCTCCCCCCACTCTGATCCCCCCCTCTCTCCCACTCTTCTCACTCTCATCCCCTTTCTCTCTTCCCACACTCCTCTCTCTCTCCTCACTTCTCTCTCTCATTCTCCCTCTCTCCTCCTGTACTTCGCTCTTCCCCACTCCCCACTCTCTCACCCCCTTCCCATTCTCCCCACTCTTCTCTTTCATCCCCTATCTCTCCCAACATTCCTCTCTCACCCCCTTCCTCCCCTTCCCTCCTCCCTCCCTCCCCTTCCCTCCCCATCATCCCCCTCTCCCCCCTCCCTCTCCCTTTCAGCTCTATGACGGTGCGTAAAGGAAAGAAACTCAGCATCACTATCCAGGAACACATGGCCATTGACGTCTGCCCCGGCCCCATCCGACCTATCAGAACAATCTCTGCCTACTTCCCCCGCCTGTCCCCCACCTCTGAGCCCCTCTCCCCCAACCCCACTGGCTCCCCATTGGTCCTCAGTCCTGGGGGCGCAGCCTGCGGGATGGGGGGTGGCGGCGGGGGTGGGCTCTTGACGCCATTGCTGCCGGGGACGATGGGAGGGGGCGGGTCTTTGTCGTTACAGAGCAGTATGGACACATCTGTGGAGATCAACAGTTCTGACAGTGACGACTGCAGTGAGTCCAGATGTTGGCGTGTTGTTGAGTGTGTTTGTGTGTGCGTGTGTGTGTGTGTGTGTGTGCATGCATAAAAGTGAATATGTGTGTGCATGAATTAGTGTTGGTGTCTATCTATCCCACCCACTCTATTTTATATGGTTGGCAAGGTTGACATGTGATGTGCTTTCCTCTTATTCATTTGACAAGTTTGAGTTAATGTGATTTACATCCCATTTAAATGCATAGTGTTTCATTGATGTACTCTGTTGTGACATCTATATGTAATGTCTTTAGCATGTGTAATTTCAAATTGTGGAAGTCAGTGTGCTGTCCTTTTCATACAGTCATTGGTTGGTTTCAAAGCCTTCTGTGAGTCCATTCTGTGGCTTCCATTGTGACAGGTATGTTGCAATAGCCTGGTCCAAGATGGGGTTGTACTGTCTTGCCAACTCCTATGGTCATTGTCACATCAAACATGGCTGGAAATGATTGATTGATTGATTGATTGACTGACGGATTGATTGGTTTATTTATTTATTCATTGGTTCATTGATAAAGGTACCAAACTTTTGCTGCCGAGTTGTGTTATTTATGTGATTCACTCACCCTAAGCCATTGTTTTCACAAGTGCAGGAGATGTAGGAGTGATGTGATGGTGTTTGTTTCTGACACATGCTACTGGTTTCTAACCATGCTTCTGGTTTTTAACCATGCCAATGGTTGTCTCCTATACAGCTTCTTTAGGAACACTGGAGTTTGACTTGCGGTACGAGCGAGCCTCCAGTAAGCTACACTGCACTATCCTCAGGGCCAAGGTAACCTCACAGATACTGTTCACTCACTTCCTATCTGCTCTTCAGCCCAATCCCAAATCGAGCCCTAGACCCTGCGTCCTATGCACTTTTGGAGATCTGAGAGAATGTGACAGGTGTAAGCTATATGTTAATAGTTCCATCTTGCCCTCTGATACCAATAAAATCCTCTCAAATCTCCAGAAGTGCATAGGGCGCAGGGTCTAGGGGTCGATTTGGGATTGGGCCGCTCCAGCATCCATGGATGTCACTTACCCTGCCATCACAAATTTGTAGAATTTCTACATTCCATTCCAGAAAAAGAGGGTCTAATAAAGTAAATTAATGAAGGCAGTCATAGGGGAGCATTAAAGGGATAGTTCACCCTAAAATATGCTGGCCTCAATCATCCCAAATGAAAGGGAAAGATAAGCACCATCTAATTCCAACTAATTAGACTTCTGACTAACTTTGATGTGGAATTGAATGATTAATTTTACATTAATGAGTTTCTGTTTTCAGTGAATAACTTATGGAGGAGGGGTCCTACTCTTAGAACAGAACATAAATAATGCAAATATAATGTTGAAAACAAAGACAGGGGTGTTGCTAGGGTGAAACTATATAGTGCACTTCTTTTGACCAGGGCCCATAAGGCTCTGGTCAGAAGTAGTGCACCAAATAGGGAATAGGGTGCCATTTCAGAAGCAGCCTTCATGTTTGCCTGCCACTTGGCCCTCTTTCTTTGTTAAGCCTCTCTTTTTCATTCCTTCTCTCATTCTCTGTTTTCTTGTCTGCCTTTCCTCTGTTCAGGGTCTGAAGCCTATGGATTTTAACGGCCTAGCAGACCCCTATGTCAAACTGCACCTTCTTCCCGGGGCCTGCAAGGTGAGTCATGTAATTACGGGATCTAATACTGATACAGGTTCTGCTAGGTTTCTTCCCCTCTAATATGTTAGAATGGAATTGAGTGTAGGGTAATCTGATCCTAGATCAGATTACTCTTGATGGAAGTTACAATCTATCTGCAATATTAAAGCTGATCCATCCCCCCCTCCCAAAAAAAAAAAAAAAAACTGGCAGCTTCATTCAATATTACCGCAAAACACCAGTCTCAACGTCAACAGTGAAGAGGCGACTCCGGGATGCTGACCTTCTAGGCAGAGTTGATACTGGTGTTTTTCGGGTACTATTTAATGAAGCTGCCAGTTGAGGACCTGTGAGGCGTCTGTTTCTCAAACTAGACACTCTAATGTATTTGTCCTCTTGCTCAGTTGTGCACCGGGGCCTCCCACTCCTCTTTCTATTCTGGTTAGAGCCTGTTTGCACTGTTCTGTGATGGGAGTAGTACACAGCGTTGTACGAGACCTTCAGTTTCTTGGCAATTTCTCGCATGGAATAGCCTTCATTTCTCAGAACAAGAATAGACTGACGAGTTTCAGAAGAAAGTTATTTATTTCTGGCCATTTTGAGTCTGTAATCGAACCCACAATTGCTGATGCTCCAGATACTCAACTAGTCTCAAGAAGGCCAGTTTTATTGCTTCTTTAATCAGCACAACAGTTTTCAGCTGTGCTAACATATTTGCAAAAGGGTTTTCTAATGATCAATTAGCCTTTTAAAATGATAAACTTGGATTAGCAAACACAATGTGCCATTGGAGCACAGGACTGATGGTTTATGATAATGGGCCTCTGTATGCCTATGTAGATATTCCATAAAAAATCAGCCGTTTCCAGCTACAATAGCCATTTACAACATGAACAATGTCTACACTGTATTTCTGATCAATTTGATGTTATTTTAATGGACAAAAAAATTGCTTTTCTTTCGAAACCAAGGACATTTCTAAGTGACCCTGTCAGAGTGTGCTGATGTGGATGCGGTGGTGGAGTCAAGCGCAGGACACAGAGGCTAAGTCAAGACGACTTTACTAACACTTGAAATAGTACACAAAATAAACAGCCTCAAAACACTGGAGGCGAACAAATACGCGGAGTGCGTAAAACAACACGAAGAGTCAAAATACGCGGAGTGCGTAAAACAACAACGTAGAGCCAAGGCACCGAACCTATCCATACACGACAGGTGGAACAATAACACACAAGATACAAACATAACATAGGGGAACTTATAGGTGACATAATCAATACAGAATACGAAACAGGTGCACTAACTAGACATGACAAAACAAACATCGAAAACATCAAACGGTAGTAGCTAGTACTCCGGGGACGACGAACGCCGAAGCCTGCCCGAGCAAGGAGGAGGAGCAGCCTCGGCGGCATCCGTGACAGACCCCAAACTTTTGAACGGTAGTGTACATACATACATATATACATGTAAATACATATATACAGTCATGGCCAAAATTGTTGGCACCCCTGAAATTTTTCCAGAAAATGAAGTATTTCTCACAGAAAAGTATTGAAATTACACATGTTTTGCTATGCACATGTTTATTTCCTTTGTGTGTATTGGAATAACACAAAAAAAAACAGGAAAAAAGCAAATTTGACATAATTTCACACAAAACTAAAAAAATGGCCCGGACAAAGTTATTGGCACCCTTTCAAAATTGTGGATAAATAAGTTTGTTCCAAGCATGTGATGCTCCTTTAAACTCACCTGGGGCAAGTAACAGGTGTGGGCAATCTAAAAATCACACCTGAAAGCAGATAAAAAGGAGAGAAGTTGACTCAGTCTTTGCATTGTGTTTCTGTGTGTGCCACACTAAGCATGGAGAACAGAAAGAGGAAAAGAGAACTGTCTGAGGACTTGAGAACCAAAATTGTGGAAAAATATCAACAATCTCAAGGTTACAAGTCCATCTCCAGAGATCTAGATGTTACTTTGTCCACAGTGCGCAACATGATCAAGAAGTTTGCAACCCATGGCACTGTAGCTAATCTCCCTGGACGTGGACGGAAGAGAAAAATTGATGAAAGGTTGCAACGCAGGATAGTCCGGATGGTGGATAAGCAGCCCCAAACAAGTTCCAAAGAAATTCAAGCTGTCCTGCAGGCTCAGGGTGCATCAGTGTCAGCGCGAACTATACGTCGAAATTTGAATGAAATGAAACGCTATGGCAGGAGACCCAGGAGGACCCCACTGCTGACACAGAGACATAAAAAAGCAAGACTACAGTTTGCCAAAATGTACATGAGTAAGCCAAATTCCTTCTGGGAGAACGTCTTATGGACAGATGAGACCAAGATAGAGCTTTTTGGTAAAGCAAATCGTTCTACTGTTTACCGAAAATGTAATGAAGCCTTCAAAGAAAAGAACACAGTACCTACAGTCAAATATGGTGGAGGTTCAAAGATGTTTTGGGGTTGTTTTGCTGCCTCTGGCACTGGGTGCCTTGACTGTGTGCAAGGCATCATGAAATCTGAGGATTACCAAAGGATTTTGGGTCGCAATGTAGGGCCCAGTGTCAGAAAGCTGGGTTTGCGTCCGAGATCATGGGTCTTCCAGCAGGACAATGACCCCAAACATACTTCAAAAAGCACCCAGAAATGGATGGCAACAAAGCGCTGGAGAGTTCTGAAGTGGCCAGCAATGAGTCCAGATCTTAATCCCATTGAACACCTGTGGAGAGATCTTAAAATTGCTGTTGGGAAAAGGCACCCATCCAATATGAGAGACCTGGAGCAGTTTGCAAAAGAAGAGTGGTCCAAAATTCCGGGTGAGAGGTGTAAGAAGCTTATTGATGGTTATAGGAAGCGACTGATTTCAGTTATTTTTTCCAAAGGGTGTGCAACTAAATATTAAGTTAAGGGTGCCAATCATTTTGTCCGGCCCATTTTTTGAGTTTTGTGTGAAATTATGTCAAATTTGCTTTTTTCCTGTTTTTTTTGTGTTATTCCAATACACACAAAGGAAATAAACATGTGCATAGCAAAACATGTGTAATTTCAATACTTTTCTGTGAGAAATACTTCATTTTCTGGAAAAATTTCAGGGGTGCCAACAATTTTGGCCATGACTGTATACACATCTTTAAAAAATATATATTACCCTTAATTACTTTCCAACCCCACCACCCCTTCCCTAATTGGAGTAAACTAGTGAACAACAACGCTTAGGCCTCTACTTAAAGCTTATACATACTATATACTGTAAGTTGCTTTGGATAAGAGCGTCTTCTAAATGACTAAAATGTAAATATACATTTTATGGACACAGTCAATTTTCCAATAATTATATTTTGTTTGTTTTTGCTCGTGAACTTCCTCTACCCTTAACCCCTCCGATCTTCTTCATGATGTCCATCCGGTCTGCCTCTACATGCCATATCTTTCTAATTGTTCTCTTTCACAAAAGCTCTCAACCTATAACCTATGTACTTATTATGGACACAGTATGCTTTACATTAGTTATCTTGTTGTTATTAGTTGTTGTTATTAGTCCCATCCTTCAGCTCCATTCAACACCTCCCATCTATCTCTTAACACCATCCATACTGGATTTCTATTTGCCATATATTTTTCAACTGTACTGTGATGTTTCACAAAAGTTCAGAACCCTTCTATTCTCATTGTTTTTACAGATTGTAAATTGAAAATAAACATTTTTGCTAAAAGTATTATTATATTATTGATCGATTGACTATGACTTTTCAGATCACCCAGTAGTGCTATCTGCAGGGTTAGCTCCAGGTAAATATTGCAATCCTATAGCCATTCCTGGACCTGTGACCTAAAACAAGCTACAAATGGACAGTACCAAAACAAATGATCTAACGTCCTCCCGAGTGGCGCAGTGGTCTAAGGCACTGCATCGCAGTGCTAGCTGTGCCACTAGAGATCCTGGTTTGAATCCAGGCTCTGTCGTGGCCGACCGGGAGACCCATGGGGCGGTGCACAATTGGCCCAGCATCGTCCAGGGTAGGGGAGGGAATGGCCGGTGGGGATGTAGTTCAGTTGGTAGAGCATGGCGTTTGCAACGCCAGGGTTGTGGGTTCGCTTCCCACGGGGGGTATGAAAAATAATGTATGCACTAACTGTAAGTCGCTCTAGATAAGAGTGTCTGCTAAATGATGTAAATGTAATGATTCTGTCTCTTCTCTGCAGAGCTGAGAAGATTGTATCCCTGATATAACATTATATTGGTAGCAAGAATTGTGTATAATAATTTAAATTGAAATATTCTACGTTTTGAATCCGGCGTCGTTTTGCGTATCAGTTTATAAACACTATGCCATGGAATTGGCACGTCAAAAATCTCTTCCCAACTATTTTGCAATCTATATGGGACGGCTGTCAATCCTTTGGTCCTTAAATGAAACTGGTATACTTTTTTATTTATCACAATTTTCTTTAACCAATTATGTTCTTTAATGCAGGGCCGACAGACAAGTTCCTTACTTTTTCCCCCTTCCACTTTCCTCTTCCATTTTTGCGGTAATGCTGCAATTATTTGGTTGTAATTTTGGGTAGAGCAGATGTTTCAATATGTTTTTGTTAGCTGCATGTGCGACATAACTCCACCAGTCCTACCTATGATATCATTTAGGAAGATTATACCTTTTTTAAACATTTTTTCAAAGAAAAATTTGTTTTTATCAATTAGTATATTTGAGTTTAACCACAATATTTGTTGCCTTATTTGTTCTGTCGTTTCTGGAGGATTAAATAGAAATTGCAACCAACTTTCTATGGCTTGTTTTAGAAATAGTGATATTTGGGAGATTATTTGCATTTCAAATAACTGAAAGTGAGAGGTTGTAATCTGAATAAAGGGAAAAAGGCCATTCTTGAACATGGGGTGAGACAATCTTACTAATTTGCTAGAGAACCAGTTCGGATTTAAGTATAACTTTTGTATGACTGACGCTTTTAGTGATAGGTCTAATGCTTTAATATTTAATTATTTATGTCCTCCGAATTCATATTCATTATATAAATAGGCCCGTTTAATTTTGTCTGGTTTGCCGTTCAAAATAAAATGGAATATATTTTTCTCATATACAGTGGGGAGAACAAGTATTTGATGCACTGCCGATTTTGCAGGTTTTCCTACTTACAAAGCATGTAGAGGTCTGTAATTTTTTATCATAGGTACACTTCAACTGTGAGAGACGGAATCTAAAACAAAAATCCAGAAAATCACATTGTATGATTTTTAAGTAATTAATTTGCATTTTATTGCATGACATAAGTATTTGATCACCTACCAACCAGTAAGAATTCCGGCTCTCACAGACCTGTTAGTTTTTCTTGAAGAACCCCTCCTGTTCTCCACTCATTACCTGTATTAACTGCACCTGTTTGAACTCGTTACCTGTATAAAATGACACCTGTCCACACACTCAATCAAACAGACTCCAACCTCTCCACAATGGCCAAGACCAGAGCGCTGTGTAAGGACATCAGGGTTAAAATTGTAGACCTGCACAAGGCTGGGATGGGCTACAGGACAATAGGCAAGCAGTTTGGTGAGAAGGCAACAACTGTTGGCGCAATTATTAGAAAATGGAAGAAGTTCAAGATGACGGTCAATAACCCTCGGTCTGGGGCTCCATGCAAGATCTCACCTCGTGGGGCATCAATGATCATGAGGAAGGTGAGGGATCAGCCCAGAACTACACGGCAGGACCTGGTCAATGACCTGAAGAGAGCTGGGACCCCAGTCTCAAAGAAAACCATTAGTAACACACTACGCCGTCATGGATTAAAATCCTGCAGCGCACGCAAGGTCCCCCTGCTCAAGCCAGCGCATGTCCAGGCCCGTCTGAAGTTTGCCAATGACCATCTGGATGATCCAGAGGAGGAATGGGAGAAGGTCATGTGGTCTGATGAGACAAAAATAGAGCTTTTTGGTCTAAACTCCACTCGCCGTGTTTGGAGGAAGAAGAAGGATGAGTACAACCCCAAGAACACCATCCCAACCGTGAAGCATGGAGGTGGAAAAATCATTCTTTGGGAATGCTTTTATGCAAAGGGGACAGGACGACTGCACCGTATTGAGGGGAGGATGGATGGAGCCATGTATCGCGAGATCTTGGCCAACAACCTCCTTCCCTCAGTAAGAGCATTGAAGATGGGTCATGGCTGGGTCTTCCAGCATGACAACGACCCGAAACACACAGCCAGGGCAACTAAGGAGTGGCTCCGTAAGAAGCATCTCAAGGTCCTGGAGTGGCCTAGCCAGTCTCCAGACCTGAACCCAATAGAACATCTTTGGAGGGAGCTGAAGTCCGTATTGCCCAGCGACAGCCCCGAAACCTGAAGGATCTGGAGAAGGTCTGTATGGAGGAGTGGGCCAAAATCCCTGCTGCAGTGTGTGCAAACCTGGTTAAGACCTACAGAAAACATATGATCTCTGTAATTGCAAACAAAGGTTTCTGTACCAAATATTAAGTTATGCTTTTCTGATGTATCAAATACTTATGTCATGCAATAAAATGCAAATTCATTACTTAAAAATCATACAATGTGATTTTCTGGATTTTTGTTTTAGATTCTGTCTCTCACAGTTGAAGTGTACCTATGATAAAAATTACAGACCTCTACATGCTTTGTAAGTAGGAAAACCTGCAAAATCGGCAGTGTATCAAATACTTGTTCTTCCCACTGTATTGGAAAAAACTGTTCCCTAGGCGTAGGCAAGACCATAAGCAAATAGGTAAACTGGGATAATACTAAAGAGTTAATCAGGGTGATTTTTCCACAAATAGACAGGTATTTACCTTTCCATGGTAGCAAGATCTTATCTATTTTTGCTAACTTTCTATAAAAATGTATTGGAGTGAGATCATTTATTTCATTTGGGATATATATTCCGAGTATATCCACATCACCATCAGACCATTTTATTGGTAAACTACATGGTAATGTAATTTTTTTTATTTTTTAGTGATCCAATATGTAATATAGTACATTTATCATAATTTGGTTGTAATCCAGAGAGGTTAGAAAATGTATCTAGATCCTCTAAGAGGCTGTGGAGGGATTAAAGTTGTGGATTTAAAAGAAAACATGAATCATCAGCGTACAATGACACCTTGGTTTTTAAGCCCTGGATTTCTAATCCCTTGATAATACTGTTGGATCTGATTTTAGTAGCTAACATTTCGATGGCCATAATAAATAGATTAGCCGATAGTGGACAACCTTGTTTTACTCCTCTTGACAGTTTAAAACTTTCTGAGAAACAGCCATTATTTAATATTTTACACCTAGGGTTACTATACATGATTTTAACCCATTTTACAAGAGATTCTACAAAATTGAAATGCTCCAGGCATTTATATATAAACTCCAGTCGTACTTTATCAAATGCCTTTTCAAAGTCTGGTTTCCCAGATCTTTCATAGTGTTCTATTGTTTCCAGTACTTGCCTTATATTATCTCCAATGTATCGTCCATGTAAAAAACCTGTCTGATTAGAATGAATAATGTCCGACAATACCTTTTTAATTCTATGCACTATACAGTTTGCTAGAATCTTTGCATCACAACACTGAAGTGTAAGGGGTCTCCAATTCTTTAAATGGACTGGATCTTTATATTTCCCACTTGTATCCTGTTTCAGTAATAATGAAATCAGACCTCCTTCTTGAGTGTCTGATAATCTAGCATTTACATAGGAGTGGTTAAAACATGCTAATAATGAGTATATCAAAAAAGATTTGGTAGACCTCGACTGGTATGCCATCCAACCCCAGAGTTTTCCCAGACTTAAAGTCTTTAATTACATCCAGAAGTTCCTCCTCTGTAATTTCACCTTCACATCTTTCTGTATGGCTGTTAATTTTACATTATCAATAGAAAAAAAATCCCTACAATTAGCTTCAGTTAGAGGAGATGGAGGCGACTGAAACAAAAACATATGCTTAAAGTACTTTGCTTCCTCCTTCAAAATATCATTTGGTGAATCATGGGTGACTCCGTCATTTGTAACCAGTTTCAGTAAATTATTTTTGGTAGCATTTCTATGTTGAAGATTAAAAACGAATTTTGTGCATTTTCCCTATATTCCATCCAGTTTGCTTTATTGTTATAATATATTACACTTTATCTTTCTTGAATAAGTTTCTCCATTTATTTTTGTTTTTCCTCTAATTTAGTCTGAGCCACTATGTTACAGTTTTTATTGCTATCTATCTGTTCTGTTAGACCTTCTATTTCCTTTGTTAGTATGGACTCTTTTGACCTAAATTGCTTTTGTTTTCGAGATGAGACTTGAATTGCATGGCCTCTAAAGGTACATTTAAAAGTGTCCCATACAATAAGGGGATTTGCTGTACCTATGTTATGTCGGAAATAAATCAGTTATAAATTCTAGTTAAAAACAAGTTATCATCCAATAGGCTTTGATTACATTTCCAATATCCTCGCCCACGTGGAAATTCAGTAAGAGTAATGTATATGCCAATTATATGATGGTCCGACCACATTCTGTCCCCTATCAACACTTTTTAAAACCTTTGGTGCCAACGAGAATGACATAAGAAAGAAGTCAAGACGACTAGCTTGATTGAGTCTCCACCATGTATATCTCACTAGGTCAGGATATTTAAGCCTCCATATATCTACTAGTTCTAATGTATCCATGACATTCATGATTTCCTTAAGAGCATGAGGGTGATAGTTTGTAGTGTGATTTCCTTTACGGTCCATTGAGCTATTTAAAAAAAGTATTATAATCTCCCACCATAATAATTAAGTCTTGTATTGCTTGCAGGGTTGATCATTTATTGTATATATTGTCAAAGAAGTGTGGATCATCATTATTTGGTCCGTAAAGGTTAATGAGACATATCTGTTAATGGTCCAATAACATATTTAAAATCATCCATCTACCTTGCGGATCTGTTTGGACAATTTGCACATTTGGATCGAAATTACTGTTAATTAATATCATCACCCCTTTTGAGTTTCTTTGCCCATGGGAGAAGTATATCTCACCCCCCCCCCCAGTCCTTTTTCCACACAACTTCATCTAGAATTGTTGAATGAGTTTCCTGTAAACAATAGATATTATATTCATTCTCTTTGAGCCATGCAAATATTGTTCTTCTTTTGTTATTATCTGCTAAGCCATTACAATTATAACTGGTCATACTTATTTCACCACTTACCATAATGAGATACAAGTTTCAAATCTATTTATCATAATATATGTTTGTAAATGTACCAATAAAAAATACCATATTGATTGAGTGTCCATATACAGTGGGGAAAACAAGTATTTAGTCAGCCACCAATTGTGCAAGTTCTCCCACTTAAAAAGATGAGAGAGGCCTGTAATTTTCATCATAGGTACACGTCAACTATGACAGACAAATTGAGGGAAAAAAAATCCAGAAAATCACATTGTAGGATTTTTAATGAATTTATTTGCAAATTATGGTGGAAAATAAGTATTTGGTCACCTACAACAAGCAAGATTTCTGGCTCTCACAGACCTGTAACTTCTTCTTTAAGAGGCTCCTCTGTCCTCCACTCGTTACCTGTATTAATGGCACCTGTTTGAACTTGTTATCAGTATAAAAGACACCTGTCCACAACCTCAAACAGTCACACTCCAAACTCCACTATGGCCAAGACCAAAGAGCTGTCAAAGGACACCAGAAACAAAATTGTAGACCTGCACCAGGCTGGGAAGACTGAATCTGCAATAGGTAAGCAGCTTGGTTTGAAGAAATCAACTGTGGGAGCAATTATTAGGAAATGGAAGACATACAAGACCACTGATAATCTCCCTCGATCTGGGGCTCCACGCAAGATCTCACCCCGTGGGGTCAAAATGATCACAAGAACGGTGAGCAAAAATCCCAGAACCACACAGGGGGACCTAGTGAATGACCTGCAGAGAGCTGGGACCAAAGTTACAAAGCCTACCATCAGTAACACACTACGCCGCCAGGGACTCAAATCCTGCAGTGCAGACGTGTCCCCCTGCTTAAGCCAGTACATGTCCAGGCCCGTCTGAAGTTTGCTAGAGTGCATTTGGATGATCCAGAAGAGGATTGGGAGAATGTCATATGGTCAGATGAAACCAAAATAGAACTTTTTGGTAAAAACTCAACTCGTCGTGTTTGGAGGACAAAGAATGCTGAGTTGCATCCAAAGAACACCATACCTACTGTGAAGCATGGGGGTGGAAACATCATGCTTTGGGGCTGTTTTTCTGCAAAGGGACCAGGACGACTGATCCGTGTAAAGGAAAGAATGAATGGGGCCATGTATTGTGAGATTTTGAGTGAAAACCTCCTTCCATCAGCAAGGGCATTGAAGATGAAACGTGGCTGGGTCTTTCAGCATGACAATGATCCCAAACACACACCGCCCGGGCAACGAAGGAGTGGCTTCGTAAGAAGCATTTCAAGGTCCTGGGGTGTCCTAGCCAGTCTCCAGATCTCAACCCCATAGAAAATCTTTGGAGGGAGTTGAAAGTCCGTGTTGTCCAGTGACAGCCCCAAAACATCACTGCTCTAGAGGAGATCTGCATGGAGGAATGGGCCAAAATACCAGCAACAGTGTGTGAAAACCTTGTGAAGACTTACAGAAAACGTTTGACCTGTGTCATTGCCAACAAAGGGTATATACAAAGTATTGAGAAACTTTTGTTATTGACCAAATACTTATTTTCCACCATAATTTGCAAATAAATTCATTAAAAATCCTACAATGTGATTTTCTGGATATTTTTTTCTCAATTTGTCTGTCATAGTTGACGTGTACCTATGATGAAAATTACAGGCCTCTCTCATCTTTTTAAGTGGAGAACTTGCACAATTGGTGGCTGACTAAATACTTGTTTTCCCCACTGTAGCTGTACCATGATGTTTGCATTGCTACTAAGTAACCCTCCAATTGTTCTCCACTATTCCCGCCACTAAAGCCCCTCCCCATCCCAAGTTGGGTTGTCATCCCAGTGATCGGCAGACCACCCCCGTCCCCCCAGATCCCTAGGCTCCCCGAGAGGCCAGGACCCATCCTTTGAAAACAGCACACAGAGCCACCCACAAAACAGAAGCAGGTCAACCGCCAAAAGCATCTCCAATGCTCTCACCTCAATATATATAGCTATTAAAAATATATATCTATTCAAATATCTTGCATATCTTAATTTCCATCATTATCAATTAATATGCATAATAATGTCTGCAGTTCAAACGAAGGATTTACCTATAACCCGGATTGCCATTGTATTACATTACATTTTTGCCAAGCAATTCTTATTTTAGCAAACAATTATTGTGGTTCATCCTATATTCTCCCTAACATCCTTACCCCCTTGCAACAGATGTGGGATACACACACACACACATACACACACACACACACACACGCACATACTCTAACACACTCAACCCCTTTCTTCCACAATCAACCATAAGCTCAGATGCTCAACGGTTATTACATCCCAGAGCCCAACTCAAGAAAGGACCTGATTTACGAATGCATATACAGTTACAGCTGTTTGAGAAAGCATTCAAGATTGATCAAAAATTGACAACAATTTGAGATTTGATTAACCTATGTCAAGTCCTAGGTGATGGAGATCAGATGCACCCTCTTCCCCTGTGACACAAACACTCTGGTCCCCCGTTGTAACCATTTTCCCAAGCATCTCCGTGCAGTCAGACCTTTGATTATTTTGTGCCACCAGGGCCACAATAATATGCCCCCTCTCTGATTGTCCGAGTTTGTACCCAGTTTGTCATTTATCGACATCAACAGATCGCTTTCCACACTTACCAGTCCCAGTGGTGAAAAGCATAAATCATCTGTATCCGTCGAGGAGTCGCGTTTTCTCTTGGAGATTGATTCTCCTCGTTTACCATCTGTCATGTTTGAGTGTTGCTTGTTGTTGTAATATTTGTTGATACATTTCTCTAGCCTTATGATTTGTTTTGTGTTATTATCCAGATTGAATGTTATTACCCACGAGTACAGTTGAAGTCGGAAGTTTACATACACCTTAGCTAAATATATTTAAACGTAGTTTTTCACAATTACTGACATTTATATTCCTGACATTTATATAGGCCTCCTGTAGCTCAGTTGGTAGAGCATGGCGCTTGCAACGCCAGGGTTGTGGGTTCGATTCCCACGGGGGGCCAGTATGAAAAATGTATGCACTCACTAACTGTAAGTCGCTCTGGATAAGAGCGTCTGCTAAATGACTTAAATGTAGTGTAAATTTAATCCTAGTAAAAATTCCCTGTCTAGGATCACCACTTTATTTTAAGAATGTGAAATGTCAGAATAATAGTAGAGAGAATTATTTATTTCAGCTTGTATTTCTTTCATCACATTCCCAGTGGGTCAGAAGTTTACATACACTCAATTAGTATTTGGTAGCATTGCCATTAAATTGTTTAACTTGGGTCAAACGTTTTGGGTAGCCTTCCACAAGCTTCCCACAATAAGTTGGGTGAATTTTGGCCCATTCCTCCTGACAGAGCTGGTGTAACTGAGTTAGGTTTGTAGGCCTCCTTGCTTGCACATGCTTTTTCAGTTCTACACACACATTTTCTATAGGATTGAGGTCAGGGCTTTGTGATGGCCACTCCAATACCTTGACTTTGTTGTGCTTAAGCCATTTTGCCACAACTTTGGAAGTATGCTTGGGGTCATTGTCCATTTGGAAGACCCATTTGCGACCAAGCTTGAACTTCCTGACTGAGGTCTTGAGATGTTGCTTCAATATATCCACATAATTTTACTTCCTGATGATGCCATCTATTTTGTGAAGTGCACCAGTCCCTCCTGCAGCAAAGCACCCCCACAGCATGATGCTGCCACCCCCGTGCTTCACGGTTGGGATGGTGTTCTTCGGCTTGCAAGCAACCCTCTTTTTCCTCCAAACATAACGATGGTCATTATGGCCAAACAGTTCTATTTTAGTTTCATCAGACCAGAGGACATTTCTCCAAAAAGTACGATCTTTGTCCCCATGTGCAGTTGCAAACCGTAGTCTGGCCTTTTTATGGCGATTTTGGAGCAGTGGCTTCTTCCTTGCTGAGCGGCCTTTCAGGTAATGTCGATATAGGACCCGTTTTACTGTGGATAGGAGACAGAATGCGTCTCCTTCCTGAGCGGTATGACGGCTGCATGGTCCCATGGTGTTTATACTTGCGTACTATTGTTTGTACAGATGAACGTGGTACCTTCAGGAGTTTGGAAATTGCTCCCAAGGATGAACAAGACTTGTGGAGGTCTACCATTTTTTTTCTGAGGTCTTGGCTGATTTCTTTAGATTTTCCCATGATGTCAAGAAAAGAGGCACTGAGTTTGAAGGTAGGCCTTGAAATACATCCACAGGTACACCTCCAATTGACTCAAATGATGTCAATTAGCCTATCAGAAGCTTCTAAAGCCATGACATCATTTTCTGGAATTTTCCAAGCTGTTTAAAGGCACAGTCAACTTAGTGTATTTAAACTTCTGACCGACTGGAATTGTGATACAGTGAATTATAAGTGAAATAATCTGTCTGTAAACAATTGTTGGAAAAATTACTTGTGTCATGCACAAAGTAGATGTCCTAACCGACTTGCCAAAACTATAGTTTGTTAACAAGAAATGTGTGGAGTGGTTGAAAAATGAGTTTTAATGACTCCAACCTAAGTGTATGTAAACTTCCGACTTCAACTGTATATGAAGTGCTAATATTTAGTCTAACTTACTGATATTGAATATTACGTTTTTTTTAATCTTCAGGTGATTCGCACCGCTGTGTGTTCAATACGCCATCTTGTCACGTGACCAGAACCCTAGCACAACTTCTTTGTTTGTGTGTGACTGTAGAGGACCAAATAGTGAACTCTATCGATGTCTCTGAACTCTATCAATGTGTCTGAATTCTATCAATGTCTCTGAACTCTATTGATGTCTTTTGTTGACACTGCTGAATACTGTTTCCCTTCCTCTCTTTTAATCTTCCCTCCCTCCCTCCCTCCCTCCCTCCCTCCCTCCCTCTCTCTCTTAATCCTACATCTCTCTCTCTCTATTCACTGTCTTTCTCTTTCAGGCTAACAAGTTGAAGACAAAGATAGTGCGGAATACTCTGAATCCGGTGTGGAATGAAACACTTACCTATGTTGGGATCACAGAGGAGGACATGCATAGAAAGACACTCAGGTGTGTGTGTGTGTGCATGTGCATGTGTGTGTGTATGTGTGTGTGTGAATGCATGCATACATCTCAGTTGTATGTACAGACTGAGATATGTTCTGATAGCATTAAGTAGTTTACCACAACAGTCAAGGGCTTCGTCAATAAGTGCATAGACAATGTCATCTAGAGGCTAGAGTTACCACTTACAAGGAATGGGAAACAGACATTGATGCATACAAGAAAGACCGCTACGACCTCCGACGAGACATCAAACATGCAAAAGGACAATATAGGAGGAAGGTGGAATCCTATTACACCGGCGCCGATGCTCGTCGTATGTGGCAGGGCTTGCAGACAATAACGGATTACAAAAGCAAACCCAGCCATGAGTTGCATAGCAATACAGAACTCCCAAATGAGCAAAATGCCTTTTATGCTCACTTCGAGGAATATAACACTGTGCCTTGCGTGAAAGCCCCTGTATTTCCAGATGTCTGTGTGATCTCGCTCTCTGAGGCCGATGTGAGCAAAACGTTTAAACAGGTTAACAATCACAAGGCCGTGAGAAATGCAAAAAGTGTCCCACTTTTTCTGAATTCCCTCAAATAACAGTACTACAATAAAACAATGTACAGGATATAGCAGAGATACTTTTGAGGCGATGGGAAACTCCATTTGAATCGTGTTAACGCTCACTGTGTACGTTGCCCATGCATCGTCAATTTCGTGATCAAGAAGAACAACATTACAAATATTTTCCGAGATGTGAGATAATTAACTTGTTCTCTGTAATATCGTATAGCTTTGGAATTGTGGCATTACGTACTTTCGAGGAAAATAGGCACGTTTCTCGACTCATACTCTGACTTTGAGAAGGGATTGCATGACGATTAGCTTAGAAACCGTGTGACGCAGCATGACAACGTGAACGCGATTGGTCGACAGTCTGCTGGGTGGGGTGTTATACGTTCCTCCATTCATTGCCCAGTGGGTTTCCTATCTTCTCCTTTCTCTAATATCTCTGGACATAGTACTACAAGAACCAGTGCCCTGCCCAACCTAAGTACAGGGAGTCCTTAATGTAAACTGGATCGCTTTCCTACATTGGACAAGCATATAAGACTGTTTCACTTTAGCTACTCCATGTTTTCCTACTTTAGCTCTATAGTTGGTAAAGCGGGACAACTAAAAAAATGAATTACTAAATTGAAACATAATATTGGCAACTTCTTTTTTATGTATTTTGATTCACTAGTACCTAGTATGCACATTTACATCACAGTTTGGCACTGTGCATTATTTATAACCTTTAAACAGAAAAAAAGTGATGTCGCTGATCTTACCGTGTGCTTTGCAGGGTGAGCTTCCTGTGTGAAGCTTGCTCTTCCCCTCTCTATGATGTCACACCAATGAAGTTATGTGATTTTGATTATGTGGATTCTCTGCAAGGGCTTAGTAACAATAATTTAGATTTTCTCTTGTCAGACCAATAAATAAATAAGTCAGGATTAAGCTGTCCCAGTTGATATGATGTCTCACTCTTTCCGAATTCACCCTACATAATATATAGACTAGCTCAATAACATAAGGAAAAGAGGAACACACTGACATTTACCTTTGGCAATGATAGGAAAGTGTTGGTGGTTAAAACACGAATATATAAACAAAGAAACACAACGTAAACACTTTAACATTAAGCTCCGTGACCATACATATTTCACTTTTAAATTATCAAAATTAAGGTAGTGAGGGCAATGTGTATGTGTGTGTGTGTGTGTGTGTATGTGTGTGTGTGTGAGCTTGCCTTATCTAGCAGGCAAGTGTTGTTTCTCTGAAAATATGTATTTTCCTGTCAACAGCTTTGACAGTGGTTGCATCCCAAATGGCACCCTATTCCCTATATAGTACACCCATAGGGCTCTGGTCAAAGGTAGTGCACTGAAGGAAGTAGGGTGCCATTTGGGATGCAAGACAGTGTGTTGTATATTTAGCCAGAATAATTCTGCCCACCGCCCATGGTAATATCCTCTTGAATTCCGTTATGGCACTCTCAGAGCCACTTGGAGGCTTCTCCTGAGGAGAAGAGCAGAACACTGATGCACTCCGGTTCATCCCGTGATTATCCATGGTAAATTACCTGTGTGTGCCCACAACACACTGCAAATTAGCCGTATCCCCGGGCCACACCTGATTCCGGGCCGACCTATAAAACTTTGCTGGGGTTGGGCCTTTTTTTCTGGCGTGAAAGTGAGAGTGAGAAAGTAATTTAGTTGTCACGCCCTGGCTCTGGGGACTCTCGTATGTTGAGCCAGGGTGTTAATTTCTGGGTTTGTGTATTTCTATGTTGGCCAGGGTGGCTCCCAATCAGAGACGGCTGTAGCTCGTTGTCTCTGATTGGGAGCCATACTTAGGTAGCCATTAGGCATTCATTTGGTGTGGTTTCTTGTTCCTTTTGGTTTGTGTCTGTCCCGTAGGACTTCACGTATCGTTTGTTGTTTTGTTCGCTGTGGTGTACTAAAATAAAATATGTACGCATCTCACGCTGCGCCTTGGCCCGCTTCTTTTCAAGATGATCGTGACAGAAGAAACCACCATAACTGGACCAAGCAGCGTGTCCAGGAGCCAACGCCAGAGAGGACTTGGAAGCAGAAGAGCGAGAGTTGGGCGAGAACTATGGAGGCCTGGTCCACGGGGAGGAGAGACACCCAGAACATTTTTAGGGGGGGGGCTCATGCCGTGGACGACGGGGCAGCAGGAGGCCGCGATAGAGCGGTTAGTAGAGGAGGCCGCCAGGTTACGGGGGCCACTGGTCACGAAAGGGGAGGAAAGTGTAGAGGCACGGCGAGAGGTACTGGGGTGTGTTACCAGTCCGGTCCGGCCCGTTCCTGATCCCCGCGTAGGGCCAGTGGTGTGTGTCCCCAGTACGGTCCGGCCTGTTCCTGTCCCTCGTACCGAGCCTGTGGTGCGCGTCGCCAGCCCGGTCCGGCCTGTTCCTGCTCCCCACACCAAGTCAGTGGTGCGTTTCGTCAGCCCAGCTCGGCCCGTTCCCGCTCCCCGCACCAAGTCAGTGGTGCGTTTCGTCAGCCCAGCTCAGCCTGTTCCTGCTCCCCGCACCAAGTCAGTGGTGCGCTTCGTCAGCCCGGGTCGGCCCGTTCCTGCTCCCCGCTCCAAGTCAGTGGTGCGCTTCGTCAGCCCGGTCCGGCCCGCTCCTGCTCCCCGCACCAAGTAAGTGGTGCGTTTCGTCAGCCCGGCTCGGCCCGTTCCTGCTCCCCACACCAAGCCAGTAGTGTGCGTCGTCAGTACGGCATGGCCCGTGCCTGATCCACCGGTGCCTGGGTCGGCACGGGTCAGCTGTGTCACGCCGGAGCTAGAGCAATCCGCTCCACCGGTGTTCAGTTCAGCTCCGGTCAGCGGGGCCAGACCAGACCAGGGGTACTTTGGGGGGTTAGAGAGGGAGTGGGGGTCATGTCCGGAGCCGGATCCGCCGCCGAGGCGGAGTGCCCACCCGATCCCTCCCCTGTTATGTTTGGTTGGCGCGGTCGGAGTCCGCGCCTTTGGGGGGGGGGTACTGTCACGCCCTGGCTCTGGGGACTCTCGTATGTTGAGCCAGGGTGTTAATTTCTGGGTTTGTGTATTTCTATGTTGGCCAGGGTGGCTCCCAATCAGAGACGGCTGTAGCTCGTTGTCTCTGATTGGGAGCCATACTTAGGTAGCCGTTAGGCATTCATTTGGTGTGGTTTCTTGTTCCTTTTGGTTTGTGTCTGTCCCGTAGGACTTCACGTATCGTTTGTTGTTTTGTTCGCTGTGGTGTACTAAAATAAAATATGTACGCATCTCACGCTGCGCCTTGGCCCGCTTCTTTTCAAGACGATCGTGACATTAGTGGTTTATCTCTCGGGCTCTGTGGGTGTGTATGTATGTGTTTGTGTTCGCATGCTTGTGTGTACGAGCACATGTATGGCCACTCCAATACCCCCCCCCCCCCACGCTCTCGCTCTCTCTCGCTCTCTCTCTCGCTCTCTCTCTCCATCTACAAACAGATAGGTGTCGCACCTTGATCCATCAGTGGGGAGAGGTTATCTGTTCTGTGGGGAGGATACAGTACATCATCGGTTTTTTTCTTGTTCCAGGCTGGTAGGGTTGTTTTCTCTCCTGGGTGGGTGGTGTATAGGCCTAGGGTTGGGGCTGACTCTGGACCTATACGTTGGAGGGCCTAGGTGTAGTGTAGCCAACAGGCGAAAGGACTGCCTAGTAAACTACCTGTTGGGGCAGGCAAAAATGGCAGTGTGGAAGACCAGGACACATGAGATGCAGGGGGCAGGGTGTAAGGACCCCATAGCTGTGCTGCTGAGGCTGGTGTAGGCTCCGCTCACACTGGAGCATGTATATGGGGGCTGGTGAACCATCTGGAGGAATTTGTAGGGGTGTGGGGCATCAGGGGGGTTCTATGTACAGTGGACGAGGAGGGGGGCTTGGTTCTAACTATCTAGGTCCATTAAAATTAAGAAAAGTTTGTGCTTTTAATTATGTAACTATTGGGCAAATAAAAATCTCTCTCTCGCTCTCTTTCTCCCTGTTGCAGGTTGTCAGTGTGTGATGAGGATAAGTTGACTCATAATGAGTTCATTGGGGAGTCTCGCGTTCCCCTGAAGCGCGTCAAGCCAGACCAGACCAAACACTTCCACACCTGTCTGGAACACCCACCCCCAGTACGAGACCCGACACACACATGCATGCACACACGCACCCACACTCAAACGCGCACGCACGCACACACACACAAACACACTTCTTTCAACTGCAATCCTTTGAGTTAGCTTCTTTGGGCAGAGATGCACAAAGACAAAATAAGATCACTTTCTTCCTCTGTCTTCCCTCTCTCTTTCCCCAGCTACCCTCTCCAACCACCATGGGGACAGCACTCCGAGGAATCTCCTGCTACTTAAGAGAGGTGCTTTCCCCTTTCCTTCCTCCCTCCTTCTCTCCCTCCTCGCTCTCCCTCTCGCTCACTCCCTCTCTCGCTTTCTCTGTCAGTCTTTCCCCCGCCCTCTTTCTTCCTCCCTCTCTCTGTCTCCATATCTCTCCCCCGCATTTGTCATATGCACCGAATACAACAGGTGTAGACCTTACAGTGAAATGCTTACTTACTAGCCCTTAACCAACAATGCAGTTTTAAGAAAAATAAGAGTTAAGTAAAAAATAGCTAAGTAAAACATTAATAATTAAAAATAATTCAAGAGCAGCAGTAAAATAACAGTAGCGTGGCTATATACAGGGAGTACCGGTACAGAGTTAATGTGTGATGGCACAGGTTAGTCGAGGTAATTTAAATAATATGTACATGTAGGTAGAGTGACTATGCATAGATAATAAATAGAGAGTAACAGCAGCGTAAAAGAGGGGGTGTGGGTAGAAGCTGTTAAGAAGCCTTTTGGACCTAGACTTCGCGCTCCGGTATCGCTTGCCGTGCGGTAGCAGAGAGAACAGTCTATGACTAGGGTGGCTGGAGTCTTTGACAATTTTTAGGGCCTTCCTCTGACACCGCCTGGTATAGAGGTCCTGGATGGCAGGAAGCTTGGCCCCAGTGATGTACTGAGACGTATGCACTACCCTCTGAGGCCGAGCAGTTGCCATACCAGGCAGTGATGAAACCAGTCAGGATGCTCTCGATGGTGCAGCTGTAGAACTTTTTGAGGATCTGAGGACCCATGCCAAATCTTTTCAGTCTCCTGAGGGGGAATAAGCTTTGTCGTGCCCTCTTCACGACTGTCTTGGTGTGTTTGGACCATGATAGTTTGTTGGTGATGTGGACACCAAGGAACTTGAAGCTCTCAACCTGCTCCACTACAGCCCCGTCGATGAGAATGGGGGCGTGCTCGGTCCTCTTCTTTTTCCTGTAGCCCACAATCATCTCCTTTGTCTTGATCACGTTGAGGGAGAGGTTGTTATCCTGGCACCATACGGCCAGGTCTCTGACCTCCTCCCTATAGGCCAGGGGTGTCAAACTAATTTTAGCTCAGGGGCCACATGGAGGAAAATCTATTCCCAAGTGGGCCGGACCGGTAAAATCATGGTATATATAACTTAAAAACAACAACTTCAGATTGTTTTCTTTGTTTTAATACTATCAACATAAAATATAAAGCTGGAGCCTGAGGACAGTGTGTCCAAAATAGTACAAGCACAACATCACTATTAATCATAAAACACCTCAAGTTTATTTGAAAATTCTAAAGAAAAAGAACACACAAACACACAATGCCTCAGTGATTCACAGAACTGTTTCACAGATCACAGAACTATATCAGGGTGTCATTTCTCAGGCAGAAATGTAGATACAAATAATGAAATCCTGTTCCCCAAACAAGTGCAAGAACCACAGAGTCAAGAATAGGTTAAATATACAAATAAAATAAAATCAATTAAAAACAATAGCACATCAACATAAAAACATATAAACATAAAGCTGGAGCCTGAGGACAGTGTGTCCAAAAGCACAACATCACTATTAATCATAAAACACCTCAAGTTATTTGAAATTCTGAGGACAAACAACACACAAACACACAATGCCTCAGTGATTCACAGAAGTATATCACAGATCACAGAACTATATCAGGGTGTCTCATGCAGCACTTTAAGTGGGGTTGCATAGTTTATTTGACTCCTGATACCTGGCATCTTTTAGCTTTCACCAGCGCATCAATATCAGGCGTCACATCCTGAGTGGCAGCCAACTTCAGGATGTGATTCAAATGCTTGTGCGTGAGCCTTGAGCGCAGCTTTGTTTTTATTTATGCTCATTACAGAGAACTTGCTCACAAAGATATGTGGTTCCAAACATGCACAACAGTTTTGCAGCGAGGGCTGTCAAGTTGGGGTAACCTGGCAAGAGATTCTGATCAAATGTGTCCAAGCCAGCTGCGGCAAATTTGCCCTTCAAATCCGAGTCACACTGCAAGTATATTATTTCAAGTTGGATGCTGACGGGCAGATCAGAGGGATTCACAGTTAATGGCGAACAAAAAACTTTGAAGTCTTTCTCCAGTTCACCAAAAATCTGAAAGCGTTCCTCAAACTCCCTTAACAGTCCCGTTATTTTATCTTTGAACCGCTTCATGTCTGCCACATGTTGGGTCGCGCACACATTTTTCAGACAGGGGAAGTGAGCTGCATCACCACCGGCGAGTTGCGTCTCCCACAATGACAGCTTCAACTTGAAAGAACGTATGCTGTCATAATACTGCGTGGCAACTTTGTTGCACCCTTGCAGCTGTTTGTTCAAGTTATTCAGGTGCTCTGTAACATGCACCATAAATGCAAGGTCCTGCATCCATTCTGCGGAATGAAATTCTAACACTGGTTTGCCCTTTTCTTCCATGAACTGTTCAATTTCTTCTCGTAAATCAAAGAAACGCCTCAGCACAGCACCTCGGCTTAACCATCTTACCTCAGTGTGGTATGGCAGGCCATAGATGTGGTCTTTCTCTCTGAGAAGGCTGTCAAACTGATGGTGATTCAGGCTTCTGGATCGGATGAAATTAACAGTTTGGATAATATAATAATAATAATATAATAATAATAATATAATATAATAATATAATAATAATATAATAAAAATAATAACCACCTTCATGACGTTATCCATCTTTAATGACTTGCAACACAAAGCCTCCTGGTGCAAAATACAGTGAAAAGTCCAAAAATCACGTCCTCCATTTGCAGACTGCACTTTCTCTCTGAACTTTGTCACAGCGCCTGCTTTTTTCCCGATCATTGAGGGCGCACCATCTGTAGCCAGGCTGACAGCGCGGGACCAGTCCACTCCGACCCTGTCCAGCGCGCTGACGAGTGCAGTGAAAATATCAGCTGCTGTCGTTGTATCTGTCATCGGCACCAACTCCACGAACTCCTCGGTGACGGTCAATGTGTCATCAACTCTGCGGATGAAAATGGCCAGTTGTGCAACATCTGTAATGTCCGTGCTTTCATCAATTGCAATTGAAAACGCAATAAATTACTTTACTTTTTTCTTCAACTGGCTGTCCAAATCCACTGAAAGATCGGAAATCCTGTCTGCAACTGTGTTTCTTGTCAGGCTGATATTTGCAAAAGCCTGGTGCTTTTCAGGGCACACAATCTCCGCTGCCTTCATCATGCATGTTTTTACAAATTCATCCTCACTAAATGGTTTTGAAGCCACTGCGATTTTATTAGCAATGAGGTAGCTAGCTTTCACTGCAGCGTCACTGATGTCTCGGCTGTGAGTAAACACAGACTGCTGTTTCTTCAGACCCGCCAACAGTTCATTCACCTTCTCTCTTCTCCGCTGTCCTTGAAAGTTGTCATATTTGTCGGCATGAAGACTCACATAGTGGCGACGAAGGTTATATTATTTCAGCACTGCAACATGCTGTGAACACACCAAACATACAGCTTTCCCATTCAATTCCGTGAATAAATAGAAGGATGACCATTTTTCTTGGAACACTCTGCACTCTGCGTCCACTTTTCTCTTTTTTGACAGAGACATATTGGGGCAATGAGGGTGCCAAAGCACATAATGTTAAAAGTAGAAGCCGTAATAAATATCGCGGGCAAAACAAAGTAGCTCATCCGGACTGGCTGCACTTGCTTGACCTATTTGCTCTGCCCCGGTATAAACAGTTTGCTTGCTTAACACAATTGCTATTGCGCCATCCAGTGGACACAATTGGAACAGCAGTTTCTTTTATTGAAAAATTGCAGCTCATTTTTATACTTTACAAAATCATCTCGCCGGCCGGATTAAACCCGTTTGCGGGCCTGATCCGGCCCGCGGGCCGGACGTTTGACACCCCTGCTATAGGCTGTCTCATCGTTGTCGGTGATCAGGCCTACCACTGTTTAGTCCCAGGGTCCTTAGCTTAATGATGAGCTTTAAGGGCACTATGTTGTTGAAAGCTGAGCTGTAGTCAATGAGAAGCATTCTCACGTAGGTGTTCCTTTTGTCCAGGTGGGTAAGGGCAGTGTGGAGTGCAATAGAGATTGCATCATCTGTGGATCTTTTAGGGCGGTAAGCAAATTGGAGTGGGTCTAGGGTTTCTGGGATAATGGTGTTGATGTGAGCCATGACCAGCCTTTCAAAGCACTTCATGGCTACAGACATGAGTGCTACGGGTCGGTAGTCATTTAGACAGGTTATGTTAGTGTTCTTGGGCACAGCGACTATGGTGGTCTGCTTGAAACATGTTGATATTATAGACTCAGTCAGGGACATGTTCAAAATGTCAGTGAAGACACTTGCCAGTTGGTCAGCGTATGCTCGGAGTACACGTCCTGCTAATCCATCTGGCCCTGTGGCCTTGTGAAAGTTGAGTTGTTTAAAGGTCTTACTCATATCGGCTACGGAGAGCGTGATCACACAATCGTCTGGAACAGCTGGTGCTCTCATGAATGCTTCAGTGCTGCTTGCCTCGAAGCGAGCATATAAGTAATTTAGCTCATCTGGTAGGCTTGTGTCACTGGGCAGCTCGCAGCTGTGCTTCCCTTTGTAGTCTGTAATAGTTTGCAAGCCCTGCCACAACCGACGAGCGTCGGAGACGGTGTAGTACGATTCAATCTTAGTTCTGTATTGACTCTTTGCCTGTTTGATGATTCGTCGGAGGGTATAGCAGGATTTCTTATAAGCGTCCGGGTTAAGCGGCAGCTCTACCCTTTAGCTCAGTGCGGATGTTGTTGTAATCCATGGCTTCTGTTTGGGGTATGTACGTACTGTCACTGTGGGGACGACGTCATCGACGCACTTATTGATGAAGCCAGTGACTGATGTGGTGTACTCCTCAATGCCATCGGAAGAATCCCGGAACATATTCCAGTCTGTGCTAGCAAAACAGTCCTGTAGCTTAGCATCTGCGTCATCTGACCACTTCTTTATTGACCGAGTCACTGGTGCTTCCTGCTTTAG